GATATGTGTGTGTGTGTTGGTTTTATTAACATACAAAACTGTTATATATATATATAAAAAGCTATATATAGTATATATATGTCGGACTAATATACTAAAAAAATGTTTGGATGTAATACAACAGATAAATATATATATATATATATTATATATAGATATATAATATATTATATATATATATAGGGTTTGTTAACATACAAAAACTTTTTTTAGTTGGTACATTTTAGCAAAGTGTATCGGGATTTAGTAGACAAAAATACTTTCATATATTATGAATTCTAAGTTTTAAGGTCAAGGGAATTTGAATAATTTTATTTCCTCAAACCCTTACTCACTTCCCTCATTTCTCTCAACCATTTCTCTTTCATCTCTCTCACTTTAACATTTTCTTTGTCATCCTTACGGTAGCCCCAAGTGAAAAAATCAGAAACACTCGCCCCGTTAAATAATTTGTCTTTGTAAAGAGTTGAGTCATTGGCATATTCACCTTCAGCCAAAGGTTCATTCAATATCTCTTCAATTTCATCATCTTCACTAACCTCTCTAATTTCATCATTTGCAGAAGATGTGAATCATCATTCTAAAAAAAAACCTCTAGCCAATTACCATTCTTTCGATGTTATATGCTTGTGACAACTAGATAAAAGTATATAAGACAAAATATAAAATGGAAAACATCATTATAAAATCATTTTTTGTAAGAATGTTGACGAGTGGTTCTGATTTGTTCCAGGCCAATTCCAATTCCTTTGATGTAATTTTGTCTTGTGAAATGAAAATTAGATAAAATTAGATAATACAAAAATAGGAAAATGAAAAAAACTATATAAATAATTTTTTGTAAGAAATTGTTTAACAATGAGTATTTCTGATTTTTTTCCAAGTCAATTATCAATTCTTTCATATGTCATTATGGCTTGTGAAAATTAGATAAAATATATAAGACCAAAAATATAAAATCAAAAATCATTATAAAATCATTTTTTGTAACATTGTTTAACAGTCGTGTTTCTGATTTTTTCAGTTGGGACTACCATAAGATGACAGAGAAAATGTTGGAGTGAGAGATGAAAGAGAAAGGGTTGAGAGGAATAAGGGAGGTGAGTAAGGGTTTTGGGATTTCTTGGTTTTTTTTTAGTTTTAAGAATGAAAATTATTCAAATACCCTTAACCTTAAAACTTAGAATCCATAATATATGATCATATTTTTGTTTATTAAAACTCGGTACACATTACTAAAATGTACCAACTAAAAAAATAGACATACGCAAGTTAGCAAACTCATATATATATATATATATATATATTGTGGGTGTATGTGTGTGTGTGTACATGTATAGATGTGTGTACATGTACAGGCATACATGATACAGTGGGATATGTGTACATGTACAGTATAATGTGTGTGTGTGTTACACACACACAATGTTTAGCTATGTACACACAGTATACATGTTGTCAAAACTTAAAAATATTAATTCTACCAACATGTATACATGTACATGTACACACATGTATACATGTTGTCAAAACTAAAAATCTTAAATTCCTACCACTCAGTTCCACTTGGTTCCACCTTACCGCTCGGTTCTCCATTCCATCACTTGGGTCTACCTTTCACTGATCGGTCCAATCTTCCACCGCTTAACTGTCATATCTCAATCCTAACTACCACCGCCTCACTACTCAACCGCTTCCCGTTATTTTCCTTTCTTCTGTATATATATAGGCATTGACTTATATCTTTTTGTAATAATTCCTACATTCATTAGAAATATACACATTTTCTCTTCTTCATGGCTTTCAATACTTTTCTCTATGAGTGTGAATATGAAGACAATATTTTGCCTCTCACTATTACGATACCTCTATGATGGTATCATAGCTCTTCCTTTGAAGATCTTTGTTGCGCACATCAGATTGTGGTTTCTACTTCTTCTTCTTTCGCTTTCATGAGGGTTTTTCTTCTTCTCTTTTTTACTCTTCTGCCATGGCTAACGAACATAATCAGCCTTCAAGCTTTTTGTATCTTCACCCCAGCAAGAGTCCAGCCACCTCCTTGGTCTCACCCCTTCTTGATTCAACCAATTATCACGCATGGAGCAAATCCATGGCGAATGCGTTGAGCGCAAAGAACAAATCTCAATTCATCGATGGAATTGTTGAAGAGTCACCTCGTGGAGATTCCTCTCACAACGCCTAGAAAAGATGCAACAACATGATGGTTTCTTGGTTGGTCCACTCGGTGTCACCAGAAATCAGGCATAGCATTCTTTGGATGATGGAAGATGCTTAAGCAATTGGAAAGATCTCAAATCAAGATTCTTCCAGGAAGATTTGTTGTGCATCTCCGAGCCGTAAAGAGATACCTCTTTCCTAAAGCAAGGAACATCCACCGTCACTGAGTTTTATTTTAAATTGCGCATCATATGAGATGAGCTGGAGAATTTTCGCCCTGATCCAACATGCACATGTTACGTCCAGTGTTCCTGCAAAATGTTAAGAATTTATTATGTTAAGAATTTAAATTTATATTTAAGAAAATCTTAATACTATTATGTAGTTATAGTGTTTGTGTCTTGTGTAAGTATCATATGGCAGTTTTCATGGAGTTTTCTACTTAACGACATTGCTGATAGTTAAGGTGGAGAAGAGGAGGAAGAAACATTACTTTATTGAGGAAGGTGAGTACAGAGAAAAAAGCAATGGAAGAAATAAAATATAAAGAAAGATAGAAAAAAATATTCTAGACCATTCGATTAAAAAGGAAAATATCTTGTGGTTGACAAACCATCTTCCACGATTGGGGCTTTCCCATTTTTTTTTTCAATTATACCTCTAATTTAACGTTTAATGAATTTACATAATGTATTTATTTTGATATAAAAATAAAAAGGTAAAAAAATATAATTATTTTATTAGGATTAAAAGTATTTATCGAATTCTTTTTATTTCTACGTAAAAACATTAAAAGAGAAAAACAAATATAGAGATAATAGAAATCTTAATTTACATTACTATATATATTTAATCTTTTACATTTTTATGTTGCCATTCTATCCCATTTGAATGTAAAATTAAAAGTCATAAGTTTGCATATTTATTTTCATATATTTAGTTCTAAATGAAACAAAAGTAATTAATCGCTACCACGGCATGAAAATCTTTGTCAATCGAATGCATTTTCTATCATAAGGAGTAAATTAGATAGGAAATGACAAAATAATAATCTCTCTACAAACTAATATATACACTATTTGATTTGTCTACATCTATGTAATACTTAAAAAAATCTAATATATCTATTTCTTTAATTAATGCTTCTTAAATTATTAAGTAGGTGTAAAACAAAAAATAGAATATCCATGTATCATTACCCAGTTGTAGTAATAATAAGACGCCACTTATCTATATTGATAAATATAGAGCATATATATTTTATAACCATTTTTTTAAGTAAATTAGTTGTGATCATTATTTTTTGTCCGTGTTTTCTCTATGAAATATAAAATAAAACATTACTTAACACTAGTCCCTTTGTTTATGGCTATAATAAAGTTGTGAAGGCTGTATTATGAAGAGATCGATTACAAGAGGATCATCCCGCAAAGTTGGGAGAGATGTGCTTCCCCATGAAATTCGTTTTTCTATCCAAAACCCAACATTCTCTTCCACAACACACTCTCTTCTTTATCTCTCCCCTTCACACCATGCATCCCAATTTGCAATTTTACTCAACATACAATACAAGGTCACAAATCATAACATCCATTACAGCTACAACGACATCATCAACAACATTACTGCATTCTTTATCATCACAAAAGCAATGACATTGTGAGTCCCTCCCCCACCATCACCACCACCACCACCCTTTCTATTGAATCCTTTCTTAATTTCTCATTTCTAATCACTTTTTCATTCATCTATATATCATTCTGTTCCTCTTCATATTACTCACTGTTTTTCATTTGCAGGAATAAACTAATCAATTAATTCACAAATAGCACTGTTTGTATAGAGCTGCGACCTCTCTCTCTCAGTTTGCACGGGGACCAATCCAAGGTTTATTCTCTCTCTGTTTTTTTTTTTCATTACAATTTGCCCTGCCCAGAAAACGATTGAACATACAAAAAAAACGTTTCTATGCTGTTTCGTTTTGTCTTTCTTTCATTTTCCATGAAAAAGACTGTTTTACGGAGAAAAAAATGTTGACACATTACCCATCTAAGCACCATTAAACAGAAAGTTGCATTTCTCTGGAGATGGAATAGAACCCTAAAAATGTAAATCCAATATGCATGCATTAAGAATGCGAAGTTTCTCCTTCCACTATAATTAATAAGTATGGAAGAGTAGATGCGTACCTGAATCAAATTGAAGCATAGGTGTTTGTGTTATTGTTTGATAGAATTCGTAACGAACAAAATTGTGTGTTAGTGGGAAACATATTTGTGTGTATGTGTGTGATAGAAGGTCGCCGGAGGGTAACACTACATGAAGAAATGTCAGGTTCCGATAGCAGCCGAGCCCGTGTGCTAGCCGGCTTGACCCTCGACGACGTGTTAGCGAACCAGAAGAGACCTTCCTCGACGCCGCCCAGGGAACCACCACCGCCTAAGAACCGAACCCTTCTTGACATCATCAAAGACGACGAGTCCAACAAAAAGGATCGCAGGTATATATTAAAGCTCCTTAGTTCTTCTTTTCCTTAGCTTTAAAATTTTTTCTCCATCTAAGTATATTTTCTTAATTTGTTTAAGAAATTATATACTTTAAATTTTTAATTTGTCTATGATCTAAATTCATTTCATTCTCTTGGAGAAATTTGTTTGTGTTATGATGGTACGAGAGAGGGGCCTTAATTTTAAAATACTTAAATTTGTCTTAAAATGTTAAGACTCTATAATTAATAAATAACAATGTGTTTGGATAATTTTTTATTAATATTTATAGGAATAGAAAATAAAATAGTTGTTTTCAAAAATTAAAAATAAACTTATGTGTGAGCTAATGTATATGGATTTTTCTTCAAAAACTAGTTCTTAAAAAAAAAACTGTAATTGCAGATCTTGGAAAGCCTTCAAGGACAAGCTTAGGCTAAAGCGCGCAGGGTCTGCCTGGATATCCACAATTCATATCCCTACTTCGGATGTTCCTATTCCTAACCCGAATAGTAGAATCTTTACCCAGTTTGGTCGCCGTAACTCGGTCCGATTCCCCACTCAGACTACAACTCCGACTCAGTCTCTGACTCAGACTCCAACTCCGACTCAGACTCCATCTCCAACTCAGTCCGACTCGGACATGTCATCGCACTACATGACTCACCAGGTCGAGGACCTCAACCCCGCCACCGAAGACTCCGGTCCTCCGGCCACCGCACCCCCGGCAATCCGCCCCACGTTTAGCCGCCGCGGCTCCACCCGCTTCACCGGCGAAACCGCCGACAACAACACCGCCGGGACCCTGCGGCCGCAGCTCTCGTTGCGGAGTTCGGCCAACATGCCGACGGCAGAGCCGTACCGGCGGGGGAGGGTGGTGACCTTCCGCGACAGCTTCGACGACGAGGATGGGGAGGAGGACGGGGAGAAGCCGGGGGAGGGGAGGGCGCTGTCAGCGAGGGAGGCGGTTGCGGCGCAGGAGGCGTCGGAAGCGGCGGCGCAGGAGGCGGAGGCGGAGGAGGAGCAGGCGCCGGTGATGATGTCGCTGATGGACTTGTTAGAGGAGACTGACAGGGAAATGGGGCTTGAAGGATCAAGGTATATATTGAGTGATGAGGAAGATTTTGATGAGGATGCAGATGATGACGGTGAAGATGGAGATGGAGGGGGTTCCATGGAGCACACTTGCTGTATTTGCATGGTCAGGCATAAGGCTGCTTCTTTTATACCATGTGGCCACACTTTCTGCAGGATGTGTTCAAGGGAGCTTATGGTTAGCAGAGGGAATTGCCCACTCTGCAACAATTTCATTTTGGAGATTCTTGAAATTTTTTAACTTTTCTTTTTAATAATTTCTAACAATTTGTTGATTTTCTTTTTCTTTTTCTTTTTTTAACTTTTTTCTGTTAATTTTTCTGATTTATTGTTAATGTTGTTAATTTTGTTGTTATTATTATTATTATTTTGTCTGTTTCTCCCCTTTTGAGGTGTGAATTGCAGTGCTCACCTTATTTCTTTCCATGCGTAGAGATGAAGTTTTCTTATAGTTTGTTGCTGTGCTTCACTGGATCATATTTTTTCTTCTGTATACGATAGAAGATATGTAATCTCTGAGATTTTGTTAATGTAATTTTTCCCATTAGAGTCAAGTAATTTATCATACAGAAGAATTTCTATATTTCTTGCTTTTTCCATTCATGAATGGAGCTGAAGATTTGCCGTTGATTTATGATCCTGACTTGCTTATATTGCTTATATATTTTTAAATCCCATAAGTGATGAGAATGGAGATTGGAAAAGACATTAGACCTCAACTTTCTTGTAAGTTTCTATACAAGGACTAGATTGCTTTTTGTTACCAACCTTTCCACGTTATATATTGGCGATATTTCCAAACGTTAGGAACATATATATCATCATTGCTGGAGCTGTAGCCTGCAGGGAATTCAAATATCTGAACTTCAAAATCCAATAAAAGTAATTCAAAAATTCTAATTCAAATTTAACTCCCATTTGTTTAGATTATATTGCATTTCAGTCGAGTGTGCATAGTATTAGCAGCATGACATTGCAACCCCCTATTGGATCAAGGTTGAAATGGGAATTTGAACAGAGTTTCAAATTTTTTCACAAATAATCCTTAAAAAAAGAATTTGAAAATTTTTCCCAAATAATACTAGACGTTGTTTGTAAGAATTAAACTGTATGTACACAGGCTTAAATGCCTAATGATTTTTTCAGGCTTAAATACCTAATGATTTTTTAAAACATTTAAAAATACAATAAAAGATAACATATCAAAACTCATTTTTATACCGATTCACTTAATTTGAGTTGTGTTTATTTTTTTTTTCTTTTAACCATTCTTAGAGAGTTTTATTAACTTTAACAATTTATCTCGAATTAAACAAATTAAGTATTTTAAATCACTATTGATTATCCAAAAATAACAATGTGTTTTTAAAACAAGTACAGATGAAAAGTTTTCTTATAGAAGATATGATCGATACACAATGTAGATATGAGAAGATTTGTTACAAAGATATTTTCTCAAAGTTAGACGACACACTATCAAAAACAAAGAATTTTGATAGAATAAGAGTATGTGTAATTAATTCCTTGTTTTCTTCTTCATGCGGTCTTCAATTTATAAGCAATTTAAAAAAAAATGTTACTCTGGACCATTGACTTTGAGAGAGTTGTTTTAGTCTTTAATTAGTTGTCAAATGCTATTGTGCTTTTACAAAGGATATCGATGTACGAATTGGTAAAAAACATTGAATAAACATTCCTAGAATGTCTTTATATCTCTTAACATTCTACTAAATATAGCATTTGTCCTTAAAGGAATTGCACAAATAAAAAGAGATATTATGCAACAAACAAAAAATTATATTCGTACATTAGATCTAAAACATTAGATGTTTAGTATAATGTTTAGCGTAATCAGTGTACTATAATGTTTAGCATAATTTGTTTATCATATTATTTAAAGTGATTTGTTTTCTATGTGGTTTAAGATATTATTGTAGAGTTATCCTAAACAATCTTTTAAATAGACATTGTTTCAAAATAAAGAATCTTTAAAAATATTGTCTTAACAAAAATACCTATGCATTTTTTGTTGTAGAAGCTGACAATAAAAGAACAAAGATCATGAACATAGGATTTTCCGAAGCGTGTAGATCACTGTCCGTAAGGACTTATCCGCAGAATTGCGCAAGCCCCCAGGATACAACAAGAACTTCTCATAATTTCTAAGGATCACAAAACTAGCAAGGATCTCTAAAAAAAGTACAAAATAAACCCAGAATAATTTTAGAAAAAGAAGAAAAGAGAAAGAATGAAACTAATAGAAGAGAGAATGAGAGAAGAGTGGTTTCTAATGATGTATTTTGGAGTAAATGAAGTTCTCTATTTATAGAGCATGAAAAGGAGTAATCCAAGGAAAAAAAATCTTGAGGAAGAAGCTTCCCGAAACTAATTACGTGCCTTGCGAATGAGCGAAACCACTCTTTGAACGTGGATGATCCCGAGCGAGACTTGCGGATGAGTGGTTTTGACCACTTGGAGTTGCAACATTCCAATGTTTCTTGCGGAACATGAACAACTAAACCAGCTTAGATATTTTTCAATATTAGTATAACAACACTATAGCACTCCTTTTTATAACAATCGCCCACATATTTTTCAATATACACGCTCAATATTCATGAGTACTCTAGAGATCATGCCAAGATCTCATGCAAGCGTTTCCTTTCTCAATTTGGAGTCATGCTATCTTTGTTGACACTCTTTTCCAGAATGTTAAGTTTCAACAGATAGTGGAAGCAGTTGGTTAACAATTTTTTTGAACAATCCTCCTTTTCCACTATCAAATGGTGACCAACAAGGCAAGCAAGAGATATCTTCACTTTCAGCAGGGACTGTAAGAATCACTGTGATGGCAATGGGGTGGGCCAGTTATAGTTACAAAGTGTCTGCTAAGAAAAACACCCACCGCCTGGCTTTCATATCCCTTACGTGTGGTTGTATGATTTTGCAAGCAATCTGTGTTGATGAATCAACTATAGTGAGTGTCAAGTGGTTGT